CCCCAAAACCCCAAAACCCCAAAACCCCACTAAGTCGCATAAGTTAAAAATCTGATTATAATATAAATTTTTAAGTAAATAATCAAGGTTATCTGCCATAAATCAAGAAATAAATTGGATATTTCAGTCGGAATCGTCTTTCATGTTTATCTGAATGATATTACTAGTTTTCAAATTAATCAAATTTCTGGGACATATTACTTCTATTCCTTATAGTATTTTTAATTTTTGGATGCTCCCTTATTGAATCTTAGAAGTTATCTCTCTTGATTTTATAGAATTCTTTGACAAAGCATATCTGTCGTCAAACAGTCCTCAAAGCAGATAATTTCAAGGATACCTAAGTCCCTGGGAATCTTGTATGCATCAATTTCTTATAATGGGTGGCTGTATTGATTAATTTCTTCAAAGTGCTTGTCACCTACATTTAAACTAGTTAATATACTTCTTACTTTAGACTACTAATGAGATATTGAAGGTTTTTATCATATCTTCTGTCATCTTATAGGGCGCACCAATTAAAACATCATCAACATACTTAATCGCTAAAACCATCAAAACTCTCTCATGAAGTGACAACACTGGAGAATTTTTTCCCTTAAGTTATCTCACAAGTTAGTCATCATAAATGCCAACATAAATAAAATCACCTCTGCTCTTAGCCTCTTTGAGGGCACGGATATGCCCATTGTGTAGCATGTCAAAATCGCCATCTATATAAACGATTCTATCTGTAGGTTTGGGGTCTCTTTAATTTCCAAAATTCATAATTCTTCTACTAGTTGCCAAGAACATCTCTGATGATTAGATTTTCTGTTTTATAAGTTATTCTTCTGTAGGTTCAATTGACTCAAGCATTGTTTTACTAATCAAACTTTGATTTTAATTGTCACTTGAGCTTGGCTAACTGTGGAATCGCTCTTTTTCCCTTGCGAGAAGTAGTAGCCTTCCTACTATATCTGTGGTAGACACCCCTTCGGTTCGTTTTAATAACTTGAATCTACCGGCATCCTTGAATGGTTGATATGTATCAGAACCATCAGGATTCAAAACTGGATCATCTCCGTGCACTGCAAAGTCTCCCTCCACATAATCAAGCATATCAATAGTTGGATTGTAGGAATTAACAATGACTGCTTAATCAACCCATTTGCATGCTCTAATAAGTTCTGCTCTCTCATTTTAATTAAGAATTGGAGGTCCTTTGAACTTTTCAACTTCAGAGTCACATATCACAGCAGCAATTAAAACATCGCCGAGTTATTTTGCTTGCCTAAGAGCGTTGTAGTGGCCTGAATGTATCATGTCAAAACAACCATCTAGCATGATCCTTACTGGTCTAATATTCTTAGCTTTCTAGATATTTTAAACATTTTCCTACAAGTTAATAATTCATAAATTCTTATACCTTATTTATTGAGCTCTCTTATTGTATATTATTTGGAGTTACTTCTTTGCCTTTTTCTTTTATCATTGATACCTAATCAATCAAAGCCATCGAATCTTAAAAGCTTTAATTGTATTGAAACTTATCAGATGATGACGTATTTTTATTCTTTTCTGTGAGTATCAATTCTTCCAAACGTGCTCTCAATTATTCATCACTCTATTATAAGTTGTCTAAAACTGATATTTATATACCTTTAAAAATTAATTTAAATAAGCAAGCTAATGATGATCGTCAAGTGGTGATAAAGTTTCTTTTTATTTCTACATAACTAAAGGCTTTTGCTATTTAATTTATTATCAAAATTCTCTTTAATTTTATCTTAGTCAGAATATCACTCATTCTAAACTACACGGGGTTT